CTGTCAACATTTATAGATTCTTCAGTATTGAAAACCATGCTTTCATGGAGTTGCAGCCAGGAGATCCAGTTAGCAGACTAATTTTGTGAACTATGCAAGCTTGGAGAACTATTTGCTGCATAAGGCACTGCTAAAATGCTTCCCATAGATATGTTGATGACATAGCATCATTGTTGAGTTGCATTCAAGAGATTGAGAAAGTGAAATAAGGAAAACAAAACCCAGAGTCTTAAGACAGAAATTATACATACAAAATGCATGCTCAATTCACTTGCATAGGAATTCATTTTTTTCTCTCATTTTTTATCAACTTTTCCATCACATATTTTATCGACTTTTATCAAAATTTACTGAAAATATGACTTTTGGGACCCCAACTTTTATCTACTTCTCAATTATATATTTTATCAATATTGATCAAAATCTATTAACATTCTGATTTTCAGAAAAACCAAACGGTGCTAAAACCCATTGGAAACAAGACAATGGGAATGTATGAAAATGGGTAGTTTAAAGTAATCACTAACCCATTGGAATCCTTCATTCTCTTGGAGGGCAGCACCCAATGGAATCCTTCATTAATTTAAGATATTGAGATAAAGTGTGGATGGTACAATTTTATCTAAAGGTAAAAATAGAATAGCAGGAGTGCTTGCTTCTTTTTTCATAGTTTGTAGTAACTTATATGAAAGTTGCTCTCCATGTAATGCATAATTTTCAGTCAAAATCTTAATTTTAATTATATATTCACTTATTATCGATAGGAGACATACGCTTACTTCTCTCATTATAATTTTCTTAGACCCAAATAAATTTAATTTCGTTATAAGATGCTTATAATTTAATTTTACCTTTTAACAAGGAAAATGTTTATTGTAAAAGTCATTTAGGCCCTGTTTGCTTTAGCATTATTTTTCATGGAAAATGGAAATTAAATTATATTTCTACATTTTTGCAAGTTTGATTGACTAAATTTTTCATGGAATTGGTTTTCTACATTTTCTTGATTTTTGAAGAAAGTTTTTCCCATGGGTTTGGTGGGAAAAGCTTTTCTAAGCAACATTTTTTTTTTAAATTTTTTTTGGTAATGGAAACAAATTATATTCTCAATTGTAACAAATTATATCCCTTTAATAAACAATTTTCATGAAAAACAAAGCCATACGAACAACAAAAGATCCAAAATTTCAATATTTTTCAAGTTAAAAATTATACTAATCAAACACAATTAATTGATAATTTTCAATAAAACAAGTTGTAAGTAATTCAGTTTACTTAAATTCATTTTCTCTCTCCCAAGTTCCATAAATTGCCCTTGCAAGAAGAAAAATGATATTCATCCTCAGTGGGGATGCATCCCCAGTCTATGTGGATGTAAATGATCGGTTGAATGATAAGTGAAATTAAATGACTTATTTAATTTCACATATCATTTAATGTCACATTAACGCCACATAAATTGGAGATGCATCCCAATGGGGATGAATAGCATTTCTCAAGCAAGAAACAAGTTAAAAGTTCCAAGAATTGCCACCTTAGCCTCTGTCTGCTACTATCCCTACTAATATAAAAGAGGCAATCCGCTGGCTACTGTTCATTTGTGAAGCATTTTGCATT